AAGCCTTAAATCCTGAACCCCCCCCCCAGAAACCCTGACAACAAACCACGATCTTTCTGACATGGTTCCCGACAGAATCTTGTGTTATGGGGTTGAAAGTATCAGATACCACGCGTCCGAAGCACGCTGTAAGTCCCGAACCCTACACCCAGCCTCAGACGAACCCCAAGAGAATAGGTAAATCCAACTTTCCCCAATCTCTTCCTTATTGCACAGTAGAGAGAAGCCACCTGTTCAATCCGTTTAAGGCTGCTCTACAACTCTACTATAAAGCACAGTATGGTGTGTACAACAATATTTTGCACTCGTATCCCACCGTTTCCGGTGGCTGGGCACTCAAAACGCCGGCGGTAAGGCAACGCATCTGTATAAACTACTTCCTGTGCTACGGCGGCAGGTGTTGCGCTCACGGGTCGTCGATGTATCGTGTGATTAAACGCTACTCCAGAGCCCGTACTAGAACAGAACCGAAACGCCGCGGTTTGAAGCCCTGGTCCGTTGCCCCTGAACTCTTGGAGCCCAGATCTTCTCAGGCTCTGGCTAGTTACGCATAGTCGCCAGCACCACCGCCTCAATTACACACTTGGAGCAAAGCCACATCTCTTGCGCAAACATGCTCGTGCGACACGAGAATACCGTATTGCCATAGTGCTATGATGCAGGCCATAGTGCTGCAATAAGGCTGCAATACTAGATACAAGCCCGCACCTCCTGAATCGTGGCTTTTGATCTGCTGTTCGCTCCAAGACTCAAGGTTGTTGCGTTTGAGGGAGACTTCGGTGTTATAGCTTGTTGTGTTGTTGTGTTCAATTCATCCTGGGCTACAGGGATTTCAACTTTTATGGGTTTAAGCGTGAAATCTGTTCTCAGATTCTAATCCTTATAAGGGTTCCCAATTATAAGGTAGGGGGTGCTATGGCTGGGGAGTCGCAACACCCTTTCGACCTACCGAAAAACTCAGAATCCTAAACCCTCAGCCCCACCGCACGACCACGGCCAGCAGCATGTCACAATACCCTTCAAATCCTGAAACTCTAAACCCTGGGCCACGTTTATGCAAGGTACAAGATATGAGGGCAGTGGTTGAGTTGCCCTTTCAGCGTGCTCTGGGGCAAACGAGCATTGATGTTCTACGTTACTAGGCAACATCTAAAATTCCAGTGTTTCTGGTACCCCACGCTACCCGCCTATCTCCCGATGACTCGTAAGGTTCACGCACATCTCCCTTGGCTGAGGCCCACGGCAATGGCGGTACTGGACTGGCCCTGCGCTTGCGCTGCAGGTTGGCAGACGGTGCGTTATGTAAGTTTGTTTGCTACAATACACTAACGCATCCTAAAGTATGCTCTAGTATAGTTTAATAGTGTATTCTAGGATGTGATAGCATGGCCTAGTATACTATAGTCTACCGTACACTACAGCTTGGCTCCCGTGGCCCCGCCGAGACTGCTTAGCCTGCACTCTTGTCTACAATACACTACAGTCTAGCGAACGCTAGGGTATGCTGTAGTATACCAGTATATTGAAGCCATGTGCAGTGCACGCAGCGCAAGTGCAGGGGCGACAAGGAGGCGATACGAGATCCGCGCGGGAAGCTTGCGGGTCAGAGGCTGTCAGAGGAACATACCTAGGCGGGTAACGTGGGGTAGGGTTTAGGAGGTGTAGGGTCCTAAGTTCGAACCGGATAGGGTCCTTGTTCGCGAGTTCTGCGGTTCTAAGGCCCTACTCGCCTTGGAGGCCTCAAAGGCCCACTAAGGCCGGGATGGCCGGGCTCCGTTTCAAGCACATGGGGGCTCAAGCAAGCACGCCAGCCAACCCTGCCTCGGACGACAGTACGTGCAAAAACTTTAAACAAAAAACTTCATGAACAAATGGACTGCAACTCTGCTGGGATTACCGGCGAGCTCTGCAGATGCAGTGATGGAGATGTCCGCCGTCAGCAACACAGCGACGGCACGATTGGAGCTGTGGGGATACTTAAGGCTTCCGTCACACAACTGCGCATCTGTGAATAAATAGCAAGCTCCATGGAGCAAACATGTGCTCAAGACGGGCAACATGCTGGCTTGTATCGGCCCCCGCCTCTCCTACGACTTGAGAAGCTGCACCAACTCGACTCGAATGCATTGGCATGTAATCCCCATGTGCCGTTACACCGTTACCCGCACAACTCACTACAGACAGGCACGCAGAGACATGGATCACCGAAGGTATCGCCCTTGATGTATTTCTGTCTTGACTCTCCATTCATCGTATAGTCGTTCGTTCCCTGGCTGCTTGTTGACTTGATTCTCTACGTAACTACTAATTATTATGCGGTTATGCTGTACTCACTCGCTCAATCAAACATGTGCGACCGACACACACACACACACACACACACACACACCCGCACGCGCACGCACACGCACACGCACACGCACACGCACACGCACACGCACACCCACCCACACACACACACACACACACACACACACACACACACACACACACACACACACGCGTGTGCGCCACCCACACACAACCACGCACCACCCACACACCACCCACACACCACCCACACATAACCCACACACAAAAACACACATACACACACACACACACACACACATAGACACACCGCAGTGGTGCCCTACGAAAGCCTGAGCCAGAAACCCAAACCTGAACCCTGAAAGGGTCAGGGGTCAGGCTTTGGGGTTTAGGCGCCCGCTGCCGAAGAACGCACTGCAGTTGTTTCTCGTGCTGCCAGTTCCGGCGCTTCGCGGACAGCTGCAACCACCTTCAAACGGACGTGGCTGCCGAAGCGACTGCCACCGAAGCGACTGCCACAGGGTGGCCGGTTTCAGGCAATTGCGAGTGAAAGCGACCTGTTCATGCCGTCACTTGCCCGAAAAATCGTATGCTCAAGAAAATCGAGCACGCGAGTCGCCCGACTATTGCAGATTACAGGTGTCCCTCTCGTGCTAACGGCTACATGGAGAAACCTTCGATCCTAAAGCAAAGCCTTGCGGTTTACTTGTCTCAGCACTGCCCCAGGCGACCCCGTACCGGAAAACTATGTACAGCGCCGACGCGAGGTGGGACTAACTAGTGGCAAACAAATTCAAAGGCAGTGACACATTCTGTGAGATATCAGACACTCCGCACCTCACGTCTTTCAAAGGTTGCCATATTATGATGATGCCACGGCGACTTTTTCCATGGCAACGAGGCCGCGCGCCTCGCAAACCCGGCACACACTTAAAGCATGCCTGATCGAAATGGAGCCCCTCACCCAAACAGGGGAGCAGAATCTGAAGAAACGTGCCGACTGCCACAGTCAGGACCCATTATATTTCACAGCGAGATCGCCTGCCTGTCATGGGACACGAAGGTCTTTACCCTGACTGCACCGCAGCTGCAGCTTGCTATATCTTACATAGGTTGCGCCGACTCATCAGCTTCATCCAAAGTCGTCAGCTACATGACAGCTCTGCAACTGGAGAAGTAGGATAGGCTGATGGCTGCGCTCTCAAACAAGGCCAAGCGCCTTGGTGCAACCACCTTCAAACAGACGTAGCACCGCTAAAGCATAGCTTCGAATCGGCGAAACCAGGCAGCTGTGGCAGGTACTGGGGGTGAGGCAACCTGTTGATGCCTCCACCTTCCTTGGAACCCTGTGCTGGAGAGCATCGAGGTATTGGCGACCACAGGTGTCCCCTCTCTCGCTGTCAGCTACATGGAAACTGCAAGAGGCTTGATGTGAGGGCCGTAACGATTAGAGTGGGGCTTGAGGGTAAATTAGAATCAGAATGTGAAGCTGCAAGGACGATAACGGGATAAAGCTATCAAGTCAGTATTCTGACCCCTACACTACTGAACTTCTTAGGGCAACGTGATACGTTGCCTATGCGCAAGGTATTTCTGAATGCGCGTGCATACGATGAGTGGGTGGCTGTAGAGGCATTCGTGCTCGAGTCGTGCGACAGCTAGGTGCGATACAGCCCGAGAGACTAGTTCAGATGGAGGCCTTGTGGTTGTTCGATCCGGGTTTCACAATTCAAGTTGAAAAGATGTCTGAGCCCTGCAAAAGATGGGCCCCCGTAGTTTCCAGACAGCTTGTTCAACAAGCTGCACTGCGTCGGATCTGCAAGTCCTGCACCGGCCATCCCTCCTGTCACACACGAGGGCTTCGGCTCACTGCGAGCCTTGAGGGGTAAAGGTCATCTGAAGGGCCCATGTACCAAGCTGTTTTGAGAACGTGGCCATAAACTAACTGCACCTGAGCCCTTTCAAGTACAAGAACTGAACTACAGGATCACGTGTCGGGTCTAGGATATTTAGGCGATGAGGGTTTAGGGGCTTAAGGATCGAGGCTCCGTGCGGCGATCCTGCGACAATTGAAAATGGGCACTCTGCTCGTGCTGGCGTTGCTGAAGGAGAGGTGTACGAGGCCACTGTGGCCGACGACCATCAAGCCAGCTTCTCTATCACCATCAGCATCATCCTCATCCACCATGGTAAGTGCCATCACGCAGAATGCTCTACACATATAACAGCCGCTAAACGCCGTCGGATTAAGTCAGTCAAAACTGTTGCACACCGCAGGCTATGCTCTAGAGCTCGACAAGTTTCTGGAACGGTCGGCAGAGGCAGTGGTGATGATGGTAGCAGAAAGTGTGCAAGAAGAAAACAGTCGTGGTCGACGGCTTCGTCGTCGTCGTCGTCACCGCCTGTCTCGCAGTAGCAGAACCAGCAGCAAAAGTCGTAGCAGGACCATGTGCGAAATCTACTTTTAACCCACCGAACCACAAAAAGCTAAGCATGTCCTTGCACTCCGAAAAGCGAAGAACCAGGCTCCTTCACGCAGAATTCTCGGAAGTCAGCATACACCGACAGCAACCTCGAGGCATTTTCGGGTCTAGGGTTAAGGTTTAGGGTTCTCCTAATGGTCCAACTGGCAAGCGGTTTTAACTTGGCGCAACATCCATGCCTAGGTGGCATGTCTCTGGTCACGTGAGTCAGCTCAGCATCGAGATGGCCTAAACTCATGTCTGTATGTTTCGAGTCCAAACTAAACAAGGCTATGTATGGTCACAAAACAATAGAAGCACAAAGCCGTCATGCCGACAAAAAGCCATCAGAATGACAGCTCTACAATTGCAGATAACTACGGCAGATTTTTAGTAGTTACAGCAATATTAAGGAACCCTAAGAAATAATATTGATAGCTATCTCCCTGGGCTTCACCTTTGCGCTTGCGCCCTTAGAACAAAACGTGATCATCATACCGTTCAATACAAGCAGAAAAAACACTAAGGCTAGACTCCATATAGATCCCTTGAAGAACCCCGCCCTCCCCTCGAAACTTGGTCGCCGGCAGCTCCTCAATGAGCTGCACCGCCTTCGCGTGATGTCGCTCGGAGGGCCTGGGTCGGCTTGGCTTTAGGGTTGAGGATCGGACAAAACCCCCAAGTAGCCTTTAGCAGAGCCGTTATGGTCCGTAAAAATGGGTATTTAGGGAATAGAAGGCAGTAGGGGTTAAGGGTCGAGGGTCGAGGGTTCAGGACTTCGGCTTCAGGGCTGAGGCTTAGGTTAAGACGTCCTACGCGGTGCTAGAAGGATTTGGTAAGGCTTGTATGGGCGGGAGTCTAGAAGGCGAGGCAAAAGTAAGGATTTGATGAGGCTGCAATAGCAAACTCCACAGGCTGCTATAAGGATTCGCTACGGCTTTTGCAGGATAAGAAAAGGCTGGTCATAAGGATTTCATGTGGCTTTTGCATATAAATATCTGAATAAGAACAATCATATATATATATATACACACACACATGCTTGTATGTCTATACATAGGGATATAGGGATACAGACAAAGATATGGATATGGGTTTTGATATAGATATAGACACAGGTTCAGGTTTAGGTATAGATATACATGCAAAGACAGCTGTGCGCGCGTATACGTGTAAATGTATAAGTACGTGTGCGCATGTGTATTTACGCACACATGTACCTTTTGCTACAGACCATACATGTACATGGACATGTGCGTAGCTGTACATATGTCCGTGTCTGTGTCTGTGCAGGTGTGTGAATGCCCGTGCGTATGTGTCAATGCCTGCATGTGTGCATGTTTCAAGAAGAAAAGGCAGTCTAACACGACCACAGTCTACAGAGCAACATAATAACATCTCATTTTCGTCCTCATAATTATCGTCATAATGGCATTCATATGATGATGCAGTAACATAGTAATATCTCCGTATAGTCCTCAATATAGTAGCACTTCGAAGTGGCATGGCGAGTTCGCGAGCCGAGGAGGGGACGAGCTTACACACAGCATCAGGGGATCTGAAGACTCCTGGCGGTGATTAGGTTCAAAGTTTAGGGTTTTAGGGTTTAGGGGCTCAGGGAGTTCTAGGTGTCTTGCAAGGGCTCTACAAGTCTAACTACAAGCGTTCAAAAAGTGGGTAGTGGTTTCAGGATTGCTTTCTCGGGTTGACGAGTAGTAATTCGTCAACTCGGTAAAAGTATATTCGCCGCAAGAAACCTCATGATGATTTCTTGTGCTCCCAGCATCAGCCCACACCAGCGCTCCACCCCAACCAAAGTCGTCACCATCGTCACGATCTCCATTTCCATCTCCACCACATTCATCAACCTGCCTTCTGCTTTATCATCGTCATCGTAGCCGTGGGCATCTTCATCCCCGTCATCTTAATCATCATCAACCACACTAACATCAACAACATGGCAACCGCAAACGCAATATTGTCAAACAACGCAGGTGAAATCGTAGCTACAGCAGCAGCAATGCTGATGGTGGTGCTAGTGGTGGTGGTGGTGGTGGTGGCGGTAGCAGTGGTAGTTTTGGCAGTATTACTTGTAACATCAGCAGCAGCAGCAGCAGCAGTACTACTAGGAGCAGTACTAGTACAGTAGCAGTAGGCACAGTCATAGTCGTGGACGCCGGCTTCGTAGTAGATGTAGCAGGTAGCAGTTGTGGCAAAAGCGAAAATTAGTGGTCATGATAGAGGTTCGGGCAGCCCCGGTAGTGGCAGTGGCAACGTTGCTAGTAAGTAGTCGTAGTAGTGGTAGTAGTAGAGTAGTAGTAGTAGTAGTAGTAGTAGTAGTAGTAGTAGTAGTAGTAGTAGTAGTAGTAGTGGTTGTAGTACGTCGTGGCAGTGGAATTATGGTACAGCATAAAATATAGTAGCACTACCTAAACCTTCTGCCACAGAACTCCGAACCCCATGCCCTTCTGCAGTTGACATCGCAGACCCAGCAAATAAACCCCAAACACGAACCGATCCGAAAACCTTATACCCTTAAACCCTAGAAGCCCTAAGCCCTACAACCTACCTTTTGTCTCGATTGTAGTTCCTTTTTTTGGTTGACCAGAAACTCTATTATAGGATCCTAACCATAAAATTGGTTAACAAAAAAGGAACTACAATGGAGACTGTAGGTACAACTTAAAACCCTACACAACCCAAACCTCAATCCGAGCTCCTCTCGGTTTGGTCCCTCCAGGAACCAGGAGCCCTTGCCGCGGAGTCGGAGTCGGCAGCCTGTTCGGAAGAGTCGGTTTTATTCTTCTTTGGTGGTTCATTGGCACATTGGGGTTTGGGTTTAGGATGGTTTAGGCTTTAGGGTTTGGGGGGGTCCTTGGGGTTTGGGGCTTTGCAATGAGGTTTAAGCAGTTTAGGCTTTAGGATCGAGTTCTTTCTTCACTGTTGTGACTTTTCTGCGGGGCTTCTGGTGGCTGCAACTGCTCCTCACATAAGTACCAGGCTACCGGGAACAGACAGGCGTCTGCTCGCACGGGCTCTTCTTCCAGCACGTCTCAACCCACGTCAGGAGATCATATTCCGGAATCCAGACGCCCAGCCCAGTCCATCGCAACCAAGAAATTTTCCATCGCCTGGTTTGAAGCACTTGGTCTGGAACCAATTCCGGATGGAAGCTTGTCCGTTGGTCGAGAGCAGATGGCTTTCGGCATCATAGATGTGACACCGGACCTCCACAGACGTGTTGTCGTATATGGCCTGCAAACATCTCAAAACCAGAAGCCGACGATTGTTTCCGCTGCACAGGGCTCGGACATTGTCCGGCCCTGTATGCAGGAAAGCATCAAGAGGCTTGAGGTTTTCCACCACACAGGGCTTCAATATCAGCTCATGCAGCATATGAGTTCCTATCCTTGAACTGGAGATCCTTGTTGATATTGAACTGCGTGAAGCGTAAAGCCCAACCTGGCACTAGGACAGGTTGGTTGGAAGGTCTCATAGCTGGCACAGATCGAGTGCGGAATCGTGAGACGCGCGGCATGAAAGGAGCATGCCGAGAGTGGTCCTCCGAGCGCCACCAAACCCGCCGGAACTCCCCGGAATCTAACTGCCAGACAATTTGATCAAGGGTGCTTTCAACAAGCTGCAGAATCCAACTTCCACAGATGAACATGTCATTGTCATCACACCTCACCGACAATACTCTGTCTTGTTTGCGTTCCTTTGAAAACGTGCGAGAAGTGAACAAGTTCTGGTCTTGCGCGACGTAACAGTCACATGGCTATCGTCGTCATCTTCCCAGTCGCCAAGAAAGGATTCAGCGAGAAATGGCAGACAATTTTGTCTTCCCATCTCTTCACGGATTCAACTTCACAGCTAGAGCCAATCCTCAACCAAGTCCGGTCACGCTGGCAACTACCGACTGCATCTTCTGTCGAACTGTCACTGTCCGGTGATGGCCGTCTTCCAAGTCACCCAGGAAGAAGCTCGAGCGCAATGGCCAGTTGGGCTGCACAACGTCTTCATTCTGTGCGGACCGAACCTCGCACTTCACTTTCAGCAACACGTTTACATGCACTGCTTGAACACAGCGGAGCACTTCGAGCCGCCTTTGGTTTGGGCACAGCAGGCTCCAAATATCATCTGCCCTGCGGTGGCGGATGGTATCCATGGGCGCCGACGGCACCCGTCTGTCAATCGACAAGTCTGATGGTGTCCTGTCCTAGCAGGACGACAAGGTCACGCAAGGCTGAAATTCAAGAGCGTGGAATCTGTATGTGGATGCTGCAAGTCTACACTATTCTCAGGTTCTCGTCTTTATCCCAAGGGCCTGACTTCAGGGTTCGACTTCGATTAACCACAGTCTCGAGCTACATCTCTGAGAGATGCTCAGGTCCGCCTTCCAGGCTCCCCAAACGAGCTACCGACATCTCTCGGGTGTTGAGCACAAGGCATTGCGTGATCGCAGGCAATCTGATACTTCCTGCTCTGTGTTCTTACATCAGAAGCAAGCCGAAGTGAATCATCCACGTTTCTGTGTATTTGTTGTTTTGCTTAGATGAACACACACACACACAAACACAAACACACACACACACACATATATATATATATATATATATGCTACCCCTTTTGGGGTGGAAACGACCGAATTTCCGCATTGCTCGGGCTGCGACGGATCCCGGATTGAAGATCTCACGGATTAAAGGGGAATGCTTGGTTGATGCCTTCTCAGGAACCCTTTTACATCCAAAGTATACATTACATAGGTTTGCAAAATCGTTTGTAGAACCCTTATAGATCTTTTCAGAAGTCTTGTGAATCCATACTATAGAACCCTGATCAATCCTATAAGGAACCCTGATAGAACCCTTCATGGACCCCTGCAAAGACGTATCCAGTTCAAACTCTGGACTGCACCCGCTGCTGGAACAGAAATCTCAGGCCAAACAAACCCCCTTAACTTTAACATCTAATGCAAGCGAACATGTTGGGGTATGTATAACGAATTATACCAATTCAATTAGCCTAGTGAACTCAATAGGCCTCACAGGTGGGTTGAACTTCCAAACTCTGCATGCATCGGGATTGCTCCCATTGCCCTAAACACTTGCGCAGGCATGTGCTCTAGCAGCTGTTGCATTGTTTTGGCTCTGCACACATACTAGGGTTCAGAGTATACACGTACACACATACACAGTAGTCTTTTAAACTGGTAGACAGTGAGGGGAGAGGGGGTCAAGGGAAGAATACACAGGATTTACACCAAAACTGGTGGATAACTCGGGGGGATACCATATGTATATATATATATATATATATATGTAGATACCTATTTAGAACACGCAAGCCACAAGCATCTGGAGTCGGCAATCGTGCCACGCATGCATACGTCTAGACAAACGCACGACATCGACAAAGAATGCATGTATGCACATGCACGTCCCTGGGCATCGAGTACATTGGAATGCTGGCAGGACCTGTTTCGAAATGTCTCAATCCCAGATCCTGCCTGTCTTGGCCGCAATCGCCTTCGCGTGAGACCTTCAGTGAACCGCGCAGGCATCACTCTTGAATTTGGGCAGTCACTCACGGGGGGGGAGGGGGCTGTTTTGATGACACACGACGCTTTCAAGCTACTACGTACCACTTGCCTTAGTGCTTGCCCAGAAGCCCAGCTACCATCTGGTAGGTTACCGTCCCTATATCTGTTTGAGAGAATCTTTTGCAGCCTATGGCACAGATCCTTGGGTAATTTCTTTTATGGTTTCAGTATGGTTTCAATACGGTTTGCATTTATGGAATCAGTATGGTCTGGTGCTGTCTGCGTTTTTGGTTTATGGTTTCACTATGGTTTTGTTATGGTTTTGTTATGGTTTTTTACGGTTTGTTTTATGGTTTTCATATATGGTTTTACTATGGGTTTGCTCCTCCACCCTAGAAAAATCAATGGAAACCAATGAATTTCAATCAAAAACAATGGAATTCTATGGTTTTGGTAGCAGAACCATTGAAAAAACAATGGTTTTCTATGGTTTTCCTAGCGAAAGCAGCCAAACCCATTGATTTTCCTAAGTTTTCATTGGCCCGGAGCTGAAAACCATACCAAAACCGTACCCAAACCATACCAAAACCATAAATTTTATGGTTTTGGTATGGTTTTGGTATGGTTTTGAATATGGTTTTACTATGGTTTTGCTCCTCCACCCTAGGAAAATCAATGGAAACCAATGAATTTCAATCAAAAACAATGGAATTCTATGGTTTTGGTAGCAGAACCATTGAAAAAACAATGGTTTTCTATGGTTTTCCGAACGAAAGCAGCCAAATCCATTGATTTTCCTAAGTTTTCATTGGCCCGGAGCTGCAAACCATACCAAAACCATACCCAAACCATACCAAAACCATACCAAAACCATAAATTTTATGGTTTTGGTATGGTTTGGGTATGGTTTGGGTATGGTTTTAATATGGTTTTACTATGGTTTTGCTCCTCCACCCTAGGAAAATCAATGGAAACCAATGAATTTCAATCAAAAACAATGGAATTCTATGGTTTTGGTAGCAGAACCATTGAAAAAACAATGGTTTTCTATGGTTTTCCTAGCGAAAGCAGCCAAACCCATTGATTTTCCTAAGTTTTCATTGGCCCGGAGCTGCAAACCATACCAAAACCATACCCAAACCATACCAAAACCATACCAAAACCATAAATTTTATGGTTTTGGTATGGTTTGGGTATGGTTTTAATATGGTTTTACTATGGTTTTGCTCCTCCACCCTAGGAAAATCAATGGAAACCAATGAATTTCAATCAAAAACAATGGAATTCTATGGTTTTGGTAGCAGAACCATTGAAAAAACAATGGTTTTCTATCGTTTTCCTAGCGAAAGCAGCCAAACCCATTGATTTTCCTAAGTTTTCATTGGCCCGGAGCTGAAAACCATACCAAAACCGTACCCAAACCATACCAAAACCATACCAAAACCATAAATTTTATGGTTTTGGTATGGTTTTGGTATGGTTTGGGTATGGTTTTAATATGGTTTTACTATGGTTTTGCTCCTCCACCCTAGGAAAATCAATGGAAACCAATGAATCTCAATCAAAAACAATGGAATTCTATGGTTTTGGTAGCAGAACCATTGAAAAAACAATGGTTTTCTATGGTTTTCCGAACGAAAGCAGCCAAATCCATTGATTTTCCTAAGTTTTCATTGGCCCGGAGCTGCAAACCATACCAAAACCATACCCAAACCATACCAAAACCATACCAAAACCATAAATTTTATGGTTTTGGTATGGTTTTGGTATGGGTTTGATATGGTTTTACTATGGTTTTGCTTCTCCACCCTAGGAAAATCAATGGAAACCAATGAATTTCAATCAAAAACAATGGAATTCTATGGTTTTGGTAGCAGAACCATTGAAAAAACTATTGTTTTCTATGGTTTTCCTAGCGAAAGCAGCCAAATCCATTGATTTTCCTAAGTTTTCATTGGCCCGGAGCTGCAAACCATACCAAAACCATACCCAAACCATACCAAAACCATACCAAAACCATAAATTTTATGGTTTTGGTATGGTTTGGGTATGGTTTGGGTATGGTTTTAATATGGTTTTACTATGGTTTTGCTCCTCCACCCTAGGAAAATCAATGGAAACCAATGAATTTCAATCAAAAACAATGGAATTCTATGGTTTTGGTAGCAGAACCATTGAAAAAAACAATGGTTTTCTATGGTTTTCCGAACGAAAGCAGCCAAATCCATTGATTTTCTTAAGTTTTCATTGGCCCAGAGCTGCAAACCATACCAAAACCATACCCAAACCATACCAAAACCATACATTTTATGGTTTTGGTATGGTTTTGGTATGGTTTTGGTATGGTTTGGGCATGGTTTTAATATGGTTTTACTATGGTTTTGCTCCTCCACCCTAGGAAAATCAATGGAAACCAATGAATTTCAATCAAAAACAATGGAATTTTTATGGTTTTGGTAGCAGAACCATTGAAAAAAAAACAATGGTGTTCTATGGTTTTCCTAGCGAAAGCAGCCAAATCCATTGATTTTCTAAGTTTTCATTGGCCCGGAGCTGAAAACCATACCAAAACCGTACCCAAACCATACCACAACCATACCAAAACCATAAATTTTATGGTTTTGGTATGGTTTTGGTATGGTTTGGGTATGGTTTGAATATGGTTTTACTATGGTTTTGCTCCTCCACCCTAGGAAAATCAATGGAAACCAATGAATTTCAATCAAAAACAATGGAATTCTATGGTTTTGGTAGCAGAACCATTGAAAAAAAAAAATTTTTGCTAAGTTTTCATTGGCCCGGAGCTGCAAACCATACCAAAACCATACCCAAACCATACCAAAACCATACCAAAACCATAAATTTTATGGTTTTGGTGTGGTTTTGGTATGGGTTTGATATGGTTTTACTATGGTTTTGCTCCTCCACCCTAGGAAAATCAATGGAAACCAATGAATTTCAATCAAAAACAATGGAATTCTATGGTTTTGGTAGCAGAACCATTGAAAAAAACTATTGTTTTCTATGGTTTTCCTAGCGAAAGCAGCCAAATCCATTGATTTTCCTAAGTTTTCATTGGCCCGGAGCTGCAAACCATACCAAAACCATACCCAAACCATACCAAAACCATAAATTTTATGGTTTTGGTATGGTTTGGGTATGGTTTTAATATGGTTTTACTATGGTTTTGCTCCTCCACCCTAGGAAAATCAATGGAAACCAATGAATTTCAATCAAAAGCAATGGAATTCTATGGTTTTGGTAGCAGAACCATTGAAAAAAAACATTTTTTGCTAAGTTTTCATTGGCCCGGAGCTGCAAACCATACCAAAACCATACCCAAACCATACCAAAACCATAATGCAAACCATACCTAAACCATAAACGAAACCATACAGAAACCGTAAATATTCCATACCTGTTTTTTGGGCCCAACAACCAAACCATAAATGCAAACCGTAAGCAAACCATATCAAAACCATAAAAGAAATTTCCCAGAATTCCATAATCTTATGCTACTTAGATTCTCACAACTATATCTCATCTATATCAACCCGCTGCAGGGTTGACTGAGTTTCAAGAATTTCAGTACAAAAGCCCTATTGAAAGCCGAAACTGCACAACCCCAAATCATACTCTATGAAAGCCTCGAAGCTCTGGCAGCCTACGTGGCCCCTGAAACCCCGCACCGGGAACCCTAAACCCTGACCTTAAACCCTCAGACCTTGTAGAAACCCTCCTAAAGCGCCAAAAACCCTCATTAAACCGCTCTTACCCCTTACAAAGACCCAAAATACAGCTTACCCCCCCCCCTGTTTAAACCCTGAAGCCCTCGCTTAGCAACCCTTGTAATTAAAGCCCTGTAAAAGTATATAGGCAAACAACTCCAAACCCTTATGGTGCTTGTTAAGACCAATAGACCACAAAACCCTTACAGTCACCCTTACAAACCTCCTTAGAGGAGCCCTGGGAAGAACCCGCTTCTGCTTGCTAAGACCCCTCCTCAAAAAGAAAAGGAGCCGAAACCTAAAACCCTTAAAAAAACAAAACCGACAAAACCCTAAACGTCACACTGCACCCTAAAAACTCTTAACCCCGAAAACCTCTAAACCCTAAGCCTTAATGCTCAGCTCCTAGCCCGCGTGGGCCCAGCAAACGCCGACCAACTCGGAAGATGGGATCCTTCAGCTCTCTTGTTGCTTCGGGATGTTGGGCTTTCGGGTTTAGGGGTTTTAAGGTTTTGAGTCTAGGGTTTGGGGTTTTTAAGGGTTTAGGATGGTTTAGGGTAAGGCGCCAGTTACTGTACTTAAACAGTGGTTACTGGGTGCATATTATTGAAGCCATCTTGTTCTTGGTTACCCAGTAGCCCCTTAAAATAACGGTACCTTTTTTTCCTAAGTACTGGAGAACCCAGTGAAGGCTGCAAACTCACCGGCTCAGGAGAGTTCGCGGTTGCAAACTGTCCCAGGTTCAATATCGACGAACGGGCTGTTAAACAACACGGAAGCCATAGAAGACCGCTTTGATTGCAAACGGAAGTCTGCTCCTTGAGAGCTAGCTTGCAGGGTATACCAAAGCTACGACCCACTGTTTGAGGCGTCTGGAAAAATGGATCACGAAAATCCCAACCCTCGCAGTCTGCCTCCTCAATGCCGATAATGAATTGGCACTGCTTCTTGCACCTGCAGCGGCTAAGGAATCCGGGATTTAGGGCTGAGAGGAGGACTTAAGGCACTTGGAATTTAGGCATTTAGGGTTCGGGGATTGCACCTGCAGTGCACAGGGCTTTGGGTTGGTTCGTAGCACCAGCGGCAGCACCAGCACAAGCAGCAGCAGAAGCGGCAGCAGCTGCAGCAGCACCACGACCGCCACCGCCACCGCTGACAGCAGCTACAGCAACAGTATTCAGTATGATAAGGCAGTACAGCCCGCAAGAATCGAGAAACATTCAAGAGCAGCGTTCATTGGCGACTTAAAGGTACCGCAGTAACAAACGTGCCGGTGGTGCTGAGATCGATCTGACCTTGGTTTAGGGCAAAATCTGCAAGAAATTTCGATACCGTCTCCGACCAGGGGGAAGAATCAATTTTATCGCTGTATATCTTTAAAGAGGTTCAAGAGGTTCTCGAGGCTTTGTCAGCTTACAAGGCTCTTTCAGGGTTCTGATGGTTCTTGATCTTTTGAGAATGATTGAAACTATTGGTTTAACACGTCCTTGCCAGGACAAGTCTTCCCCCTGGAAACAAAAGAAGCACGACACAGGGACGTAAAAGTCAGGTGCAAAGAGATGATTAACACAAATTCAACCCTGAACGATAACATCCTGTCTTGCACCCCATGCCATAGATCCTAAACTCTGTTAACTCCCAGGCCCTTGCAGACCTAGCAGTGCCACACACAGAGCTCAGCCCAGAACCGATCCTGTTGTGGCTGCCGCATGCCCTGAGGGGCGTTGTGGTTTTCTAAGGACAACTATGGAGCCTACACAACTGAAACACCGAAAAAACAACTAACAAATCCTTCTCTACTACAGGCCCTAAATCCTGGCTTGTGGAACTGTGGGGTCGGGGATGGGAGCCAACCTGGAAGGTCTAGACAGTGTAGACAGAATCGGGCTCGCCCTACCCGTTTAAACCTAAAATGCCCCTCCAAACCCTACTAGAAACCTTTCAAGATCTCGGAACTCTTATACACCCTCATAGAGCCCCTACACAACCCTTCTGGAAGCCTTGCTGACTACTTAGAGAACCCTTCTGAAAGCCTCTAGTTCACGAGCAGTGATAAGTGGGGTTTATAAGCAGGGAAGCTATAATCAAAAACCGTATTAGGCGACCTACAACCCTACTCGAAACTACCCATGAAAGTCTCTTTTAACCCTGGAAGTCAACAAGGTGCCTTACCCTTGTAAAGCTCCTGCGGAACCCTAAACGCTAAACCAATAAACCTAATTCCTAAACCGCACCCTCAACTCAAACCCCCAAACCCTGAACCAAAACCCCTAAACCCCTTAACCAAATAGCCCTAAACCCTATTGACCCTGAGCCCTCCCTGAACTCGACAGAGGTGCCTTTCCATTCGTGGCATAGCTTCCCGATGCTTCATCTGCATAAGCCTTGAGGGCTCAAGGCCTTGTTTAAGCGTTGAGGGCTGGGGGCCTTTAATGCTCAGGGTCGTTGTTTTTTGTTTGGAGCTCGTTTTTTGGTTTGTATGACTTTCCCGTCTGCCGGAGGGCCAGAGTCGGCTGCCAAATAGGTGTGGAGATCCCAGACAAGGGTCGTTGGGGTTTTTAGGGTCTATACATGGCATGGATCGCTGGGCAAGAGCTAAACCCTTCTGGTAGGCACACAGCCTGGCCGAGGCTTGTGAGTACCGCTAGAAGCCCAGTTGCACAACTTAGTTTAAAGCCACCCAAAGGGTCCTGGGTCCTAAGTACCCATATGGGGTATGCTCATACTAAACATGCACTTCCTTCTTTTTAAAGCCCTACTCTCAACTTTCTAGGTACTTAGGATATTTTGGATTAAGAATACAGCCCCTTAGGGTTTAGGATTTAGGGAATATGTACAATCATACACCCCCCCAAAAAAAAAACTTTAAACCAAAACCTATGCTGCAGAATTCTCTCGCAGTGAACCGATGAGAACACCGACGGGTACCTGAAATTGACAATTCAGAGACGTTTCAGGGTTTAGGTTAATGGTTTAGGAATGTTTAGGGTCTAGGATTTAGGTTTCAAAACAGACTCGAAGAAAGCGAAACACCATATACGCTTTGACCCGAGGTGGCCCTTGATGGGCCTACAAAACACCTCTTTGAATGATGTGAAGTCCCTTAAATAGTTTCAATCAACAACGCAGACGAGCTTCCTAAACAAAGCCCTAAACCCTAAAACCCTAAAAGCGAAAATCCAAACCCAAGACCCTAAAACCCTAAACGCAAAACACAAAATCCTAAAACCCTGCGGAGTTGGGTGCCCGGAGGCCCACGTATGAGTTTGCAGCCTTCCAGCCCTTTCTGCGGCCACCCTGCGGCAACGTGTTTCATGTTTGCCGGGTGAGGGTTGAGGGGTGAGCGTTTCAGGGTTTGAGATTTGAGGGTGGGGTTTAGCGTCTGTGTTTATTGGCAGACAAGATATCTGCAACACAAGGTACATGCTGGACAATAGCTTAGTGGCTTATTGTTATGCGTCGCGGCGGACGGTCACATCGTTTCACGAGGACTTTAGACGCTCAACAGTACTTCCAAACCGCAAACACTAAATTTAGACCTTCATGCTAAGCCCTCGAACCAGAAACACAAAAAGACTAATATAGGGGTCTTCATCAAAATACTATTACTTCATTAAACCATGCCACCATTGCCGGGCTAAAGTTTCTGACAGCAGCTGCGAGGTTCTGAGCAATCTGGAGGGTCCCAAGACTTCAGGGATTCGGGATTAGAAATGAAATTTAGGAACCTGATTAAGACATCCCCTCCAAAAAATATTAGGGTTCATAACAAAAAACCTAATAGAGGTCCAGGTTTCTTAGTCGGGTTCCTATGTCAGGGTTTCAGGTCCCTCCGAACTCTTTTTTGAAGTTAGGGGGCCGATAAGTTGAGTGCTTTCGACCCTCGAACTCATCTGAAGAAGACGATGCCAAAAAGCCAATGTAGGCGCAGATCTCTAAACTCTTTCATCTCTAAACTCTCTAAGCATGCTCAACACCAGAACTCCTGAACCCTCAACCCTGGCCTTATCCTTTCACCTGCTTACCTCACGTGCGAGCTTTGGACGCTGCTTCTGTGACCCGAAACCCTCCCCCCAACAAGACAGCTCCTCCCTAAAGCTTAGATCCGTAAAAGCGCGAATATAGGCGCTAACTAACCGCGGGTTGGGGGATATTAGGCTTTTTTTAACGGACTATCGGGGATGCTCTATGATCTTGCTAACTACTCCGATCCCTGCAGCACGTTCTTCACGTATCGGGCTGAAAGCGATCATTATGCTCAGGTCCCAAGACCGAAACATGTTCCTATGAACCGCAGTCAAATTGACAGTCTAGCTTTGCTTGAGTGACATCAAATCGGGGTATGAAACCCAAGCTTGAGACCCTAAGCTTTGGAGAAAAATGACATGTAAGGTTTTTTCGGATCGTCTTGTGGATGCGTCTCGCTGCCTGGCCTTACCATAGGAAAAAAAACAAACCGCAAACCACTAAACCCTACACCCCTAAATCCCTAAAGCCAAACCCCCAACCCCCCCAAACCGGTTCTCGCCGCCTGGCCTTACCGTGGTAGTACGCATCGCTGCAATAACCCAAGTCATAGTAGCGGTCGTGGTACTGGGCGGGGTACTGATCCTTCGGATTGGCGGATGTCTGGGAAGTGGAAACTACAATAGGGGCCTGAATGATTACCTATACTTTTTTCGTGGGAGGGGGGGTCCATCATTTTGTAGTGCACTTGGCCCCAAAGCCCTTTTCTGATTATTACGGCCTGCATATTATGCCCCTCCTCAGAAGCACCTGCTTAATTGATATCGGGGCCATAAGACCTAGCAGAAGGTTTTGCAAGTTCTTCTGACACCTATATGAACCAGGCAACTTCAAGGGTGCTACTGCAGCAACGGCCAGTCGGCCAGTCACGGTTTGGGGTGGTTGCCGTTTGAAGAGCTATGGGAGACACTGCAAACGATGCTAAGCAAAATGCGTGGCATTCAGGTGTACTCGCAGGCAGGGTCTTTTGATTCCCTCCTGATCCCTGAGCTCATAACCCACATATGGTAGAAGGCAATATACCTTCGGGCAAAGACGAGCCGAAAGAGCCATTCATCAGGGGCTACCGAATGCTGGCTCACAGCCCTCAGCTTTATACCGGTGAAAGGTGGTAACGGCATCGCGCTCTTTAGTGGATCCAAAAACCTGTCTTTGGCGGGAGGGGAAAGGGGTGGAGTCTTAACCTTTTGAAAGGGCCCACAATGCATATCTGCATATCTGCAGAAGAGCACTTGAAATAGTAGTAGTAGTAGTAGTAGTAGTAGTAGTAGTAGTAGTAGTAGTAGTAGTAGTAGTAGTAGTAGTAGTAGTGGTAGTAGTAGTTGTTGTTGTCGTCGTTGTTGCAGTTGTAGTTGTAGGGAGTGGGGTGTCGGGTGTGCGGTGTGGTGTGTGGAGTGGGGCGGGTTGTGGGGAATGGGGAATGGGGCGGATTGAAACTAATCTAAAGTTTAAGTTCGGCGCTGGTGTCACGTGATGCTCTCTAACCTCGCAACGTTGCATTGAGGCTTCCGGGCCCATGCTTCGGTTGGGTTGGTTTCGGGGTTTTGGCCGGGTGGTCCCCGGTATAATGAGCCCAAGCCTCAACATGCTCACGGCTTTTTGGAGGCATGTCCTTTTACTCTGAACCTCAAACCTTGAGAAGTCCCGGTTCTGGGCAAACTATCATAGATCTTGGGGCCATAAAGCCATGAGGCCCTTGAGCCGTAAATCGATGGGGTTCTGGATTTCCTACACCGCTTACCTACAGTGGACCCCAGAAAGTTGGAACATGGTTTTAGGACTATTAGTGCTAGGATCTCTTATGCTTTGGCGGGAGGATAATGATATTCCAACCTTTCTGGCTTCTACTATATAGCCCTGACACTCAACACTGAACAGAACCCTCGACCCCGAAACCGTGTGAACTCCAGAGCGGAAGCCCCTTCAGCCCCGTACAAGCCGTACAAACCGAACCTCTTCAAGGGTAACTCACCGAAAAGAACACCTGAAAACCTGACTTTTGCAAACACATGTCAACACCACAATCAAAGGGGCGACCTTTCTAAATGCATATAAAACATAAACCCACGCCTTCGGTTAGAACCAGCTAAGGCCCCGTCTTCGGAGAGCGTAATGCTGCGAGCTTGCCATCTCCCGTCTGAGAGGGCCTGGTTCAGGTTTAGGGATTAGGGCCTAGGACCTAGGAATTCGCGTTGAGGGCTGTGGGTCTCAGGCCAGTTGTAGATATGACATCACTCAAGTCGAAATGTTAATAACAACACCTCTATTCATCACGACGGTTAGACTACGGACCACCCTAAAGCCTTAAACACATCTCCAAAACAGCATCTACCAGAAGCTGTGGCATCCGACAGCGAGGCTGCTACAGATCAGTCAGCTGCAAATTTCAACCTGCGTCCCGCAGATGCTTTAATTGACCAAGGGGGGGCACACCGGTTCTTGTCAAAAGGCTTGGCTCGGCCGATTTTGTGCAAATTGGCACATTGGCAACACGAACAGCAAAGAACAACAACGAACGAACATCAGCCAAAAGCAAAGCGGTGGGGTAGGCGCAAACAGCAGCAACAACAACAACAACAACAACAAAAGAAACAGGGAAGCAACCAGCATTAAACGCGATGCCAAAGGAAATTGAGCGAAACAGCCCTGGCCGTGACAAAACTCTCTGCCCAAGCACCGGAGGCTTGAGTGTAGAGTTTCGGGCAACATCCTCATTCAAAACCTAGGCAGCGTTCACAGTCTCAGGAACATGATGCGGCGACTTGCTGCATGGAGTTGTACCTCCCAAAAATCAGGAAAGACACGCCGCACCCTGCACCTGAAAGCGAGGGATTACTTGGCAATGGGATGCCTCCAGGCGAAGGTTGGCGGTGTACCCGGTGAGGCCTTGACCTTGCTCGGCTTACGGATGTGCTTAATATAGGGGCCCTAGTTTCAAATAGCATTGGGATTTGGGGCCCGCTGTACGATAGTTATAATAAGGAACCCCCAAAATAGTATAGGTAATTTTTTCAGCCCCTATAGTATACCTGAACCCGTTCTCTGCTATGATTTCCTCGTGCTGGTCCTTAGGTTGGTAGGCTTAAAAGACTTCTTTGTACATAGCTTGAACCTGAAGAGTCTGCTGATGGGTTAAGACCTAGATGCTACAACCATGAAAAGCACAAGGAAAGACCCTGGCTGCAAAGTTGTCGATCTCCTTAACGGCTACGTAGCTCTAGGAAAAAATGAAACCTCTGCGCCGCCCTGTGAACCTTTTAAGGGTGCGGGGTGGCCCCAACGGGATTCGAACAGGGCGTCTGTGGTTTGTTGGTTTGCTGTATGAAAGATAGGCAGTGGCACAGTGAAACTTAGAGTACATTTCAATGCTAGACCCTACAACTGAACCCGACACACCAGCTGTAAATCCTACACCTGACCCTAAACCCAACGCCACAATCCCTACATCATCTTATACAACCCCTTACCCTGAATCCTAAATCTTGCTCAGGCATCCAACCCCCACGAGGCCCCGACAAAAGCCCCAACCCCGAGACCCATCCACCCCGAAATATCCAAGACCCTCCTGAGCCTGCGGCCGCCGACCCAGGTCAACCTGATGACGAAGCCGTGTTGGACGGGTGCACTTTAGGGTTCCGGGTCTGCGGTTCAGGGTTTAGCTTGCAGGACTTCGCATGAGAGGTGCATGAGTCTCAGAACCAGAACAGGGACAGGGCCCGTACCCTGCCAAGTCTAGAGGCAGCCTAAGAAGCATAGAAGGAGAAGGATCTTAGGATTATGTAGAGTGTGATAGTACTGCTATTGATGTCCGGGGTTTCGCGCTTAAGCTTCAGGTCCGTGGAACTGATCGGTTCATTTCTTCAGAAGCAACAGGCGTAGAGTGTATAGACCTATGTTTCCCAAATTCTGTGCCCTACACCCTTGCTTCATAAGAGCGACTACCAAAGAGCTACATGTTCAACCTCTAACTTCCAAATGCATTTAAACCCTACAATTTGACCTGGCCTCGAAATCCTTAACCCCGACGCTCTAAATCACCCTCAACCTCCAAACACTCACTTTCGTTTCAGGACCTTAGGACATGTTGGTGATGTGGCTCGGAAGCTGGGGAACGACCACAGAGGTTGCCCGAAGCTATGCCGTTTCTGAACTTAAACCAGCAGAAACCCTGAAACGAAGCTGGAGGCTAGGGATGTAGGGATAAACTCTATCTATAGAACCCGGTTACCGGAGTGCTCCTCTCTGTGCGCAAGGAACACCAGCAGGCCCAGTGTCTGCCCCGGTTTAGGGAATGTCCTGAATCACACTCCAAACTCCAATAACTATGAAATTGAATTTCAAATTCGAAACCAAAACCCCGAGCTTCCGCAAAAGTGCAAAGAAGTATATTGCCACTCTAGTTCTATCAACACTAAACCTCCAACCATCCCTAAGGCCGATGGGGGGGATAGGGGCTCCTTTCGGGTTTGAAATGGGCCAAGCTCCTCGCAGATTTTGCGAGGCAGCATCTATGTCTCTTCGCCTCGGCGCGAAGACAATGAAACTTGTAATCTGCCTTGGCCTAGTGACTAGTGACTAGTGTTTGGGGATCAACTGTCTTAACTGTCAGGAATTATGCGAGACTTGATTGTCGCAATCCAAAAGACTTCGCAGGCACTTTAGTATTCACGGCCTCTCCATGCTACCCCCAGACCCTGCATCGTCGGTCCAAGACTTAAACGTCTGAGTTTGCTCCAGCCTTGACCTGTCGGAGGCTGTAAGGTTTAGGGTTTAAGGGCTGACATGGGGTTTCGGGTTTAGGGTGGAGTTTCTGGATGCCGGGCAGGGGAGTTTATCTTTTTAAGTTGGGTTTCCTGCTGACTTACTAAATTCGCTTATTGTAAGTACAGAACAACATTGATCGCCCAGTGAAGATGTTGACCCTAGGTAACCCTGAACCCTAAACCCGAAAGCAACCCCCAAACGCCCAACCCCGAGGTGCCCGGCTGGAAGTAGACATCCTCAGGGTCAAAGTCATGGGACAGTTTATCTAGGGCTCTGGTTCGTTGTTAAGGCTTTGGGGGCTATGTGGGACTCGTGTTCTTCAGGCTTCCTGTGGAAAAAGGGTTCCATTTGTCCGGCTATCCCCTAGATAGCCTAGACAGACGAGAGAAGCACAAAGCACTACTGGGAGATCTCTAGTAGTCATAATGTCCTTCGAAGTTCTGCAAGCAGAGGTGCCGCGAGAGAGAGTTAGCGTGCCTTTATGTTTAGCAACGCTGATAGCAACCCTGAACTCTATCCCTCCAGGGGAACAAAAACCCCACCTAAAGATGTGCAAAGCAAACGGCGTCAGACAAGAACCTGTGCTTTCTAGGGGCAGAATGCTGCCACATGTCACTGTAGAGGCATTTTCTCCTGTCGTGCCTTCATTCTCGCAAGGCTGGTGTTTCTGCGCAGGTGCGTTGTAGGAATCGCCTGGCTGCTCTACCAAGTGGCTGGCTCCATTGATAAGGGAACCTCTTTCCCAAACCCATGCGCTAAAGCTGAAACCCTGCGAAGCCAGACCTTGCTCTACAAGGGACTACAGCTCTAACCTTACCCCCCCCCGGCCAAACTGAACTCGTCTGACATGTAACCCCAAACCGTGGACCCCAGAACAGCTCTATATCCAAATGCCGTCTCTTTCGAAGGCGTCCTGGCTCCCGCCGGGGATCCTGATGAAGCCGAAGCCGCGACGGTCGTTGTAGTACTTCACCTGGTGCTTAGGGTTTAGGGCTTAGGATTTAGGGTTTGGGGCAGTTTCGGTTCTGTGTTTATTCAATAGCAGCCTCGGCTTCAAATTGCAAGGGTCTCGTCACAAGCTCAAGCTCTTGCGTGCATGCTTGCTAGTGTGGAATCTTGAGCCTCGGAATCCCGAAGCGAAAACATACTGAAGTCACTGGAGGCCCTAAATAAAGTGCAATGGCCCGACAAGCCCAGCAAAGCCGAACAGGACTCGAAGGCACGAAAATCTGAAAGCTTTGCTATCCAAAACCATCTGAGGCCCACGGCACGGCCGGCTGTTTGAGTTCCCGAGACAAGGCCGTTTCCCAGCGACCTTGTCTCAAGCTAAGGGTTTAGGTTTAAGATTCAGGGGTTGGGCCGGGGTTGGGGGCATTTTTTTCTGACATTGCAAGATTCGGTCCAGGTTGCCGTTTTTCCAAAGGCCTTTTCTGTGCTGCGGTCTGGCCGGGGGTCTGGGGTTTAAAGCTTGAATCCTTCCTTTGTTGTGCGACTACCCCTGGACTCACCGAAGGCTGTGTCTCTGACTGCACATCCATGGCATGTACATGTTAGTTCGATGTCGAAAATTATATTTGGACGATAAGGGACACGTGTTGGCATTGCCGCCGTGAAGGACCAGGCCAAGTGGTCTACATACTTACGACAACACAACCTCAGCGTCCTTTTGTACGTGGCAGGACGATGCTGATGGTGGTGGCGGTTCTGAGATCGCCGCCACCAGCATCACCACCGCAAGAACCGCAGCCACAGTCACCAACACCACCACCATCATCATTAGCAGCATTGTGCTCACCATTGCAACCACTATCCGTGCAGATCCTTGCCATCAATACCCTCAGAGCACGGTTATCGTCGTCATCTGCAACTACATCGGCAATTACGTTCCGTCCTCCGACCACTACGAATCCCGGACCCCGACAACAGAGAAATGCTGGGTTTCCGACGGTGCCGGAGGATCCGGTCCCTGCCAATGTGTCGCAGCAAGGTGGAAATTCACACTGCGGCTGTCCATCCGATTGGTATCCAACGGATATTCGATCTTTGCTTCCTGTGATAGGGGGCTTCGGTCCGCTTCTGACCTGAAACATGAACCCCGGATGCCAAATCTCAAACCAGAACCCTCGACCCTGCTGATGGTGCTGGTGCTGGTTCTTCTGCTGGGGTGGTCGCGGGGTGGTGCTCCTGCCGTTGCCGCAGCTGGCAGTGTTCGCAGTCTGTTTTGCGGTTGCTGCACAACTTCATTCTGCGATGGTGATGTAGGCGACGACCACTGAGATGATGAGGATAAAAAACAATGATGTTCATGATGATGACCGTGATGGTGAACACGATGATGAACACGATGACGAAAGCGATGGGAATTCTGAAGACGGTTCTGATTCTGATGCTCACATGCCCGAAGCCTCTGTGTGCCTAGTGCCTACAGATATCCCAAAAGATCCCATCCCATCGGACGAACAACTGAAATTCGACCCGAGTTCCTAAAGCCGGGACAACACATCCTGTGTAGGCGGCCTGAACAAATGGCTTATGATCTGGGGGGTAGTCGGCCCTCAGTCCCCCGCCTTCAGCAGGGACAGGAGGAACTTGCCCGGATCCTGACATGGTAAGCATGCCGCGAGACACTGAAATGCCCAGATGGTGACACAAAGCTGCGTGTAGGGCTTTTATGGGGCTGCGATCCTACATACCTTGAACAAGCCTGCTCTACATATTTGTTCGAAAACAGCCCCTAAGCCGAAACTACATCGGGTTTAGCGTTTCAGTTTTCGAGTTTATGGTTCAGGGTTCCGGGTAAGGGTGAAGCGTTGGTATGGGGTGTATTTGGCATGACCTGCACCGTCGAACTGACACAGACGTTCCTGGCTGTGTTTCATGGAGCTGTTACCCTACTTTTAGGGCGCATTGTGGGTTTCAATCAATGCCTGTTCACCCCACCCTCCAGGTCATTGCCCCTGAGATCCTGAAATATAGACGGACAAAGGACTGCGACTGGAAAAGCAAGAACAACGTGCCGCACAAAGCGAATAATACTACTACCATGTACAGATTCATTGCTGCGATACGGGCACGATCGACTGCAGTCTGTCGAGTCTTGTGTCTTCTGTCCGTACCACGACAACCCTCATTCCGCGGAACACTACCACGTCACCAACACCATCATCGTCTTCTTCGGGCAGCAAGTATCCAATTCTACCGTCAGCTACAAGCTACCAGCGCGACTATTTTGGTGGAGTTCTCAGTAGATGAAAATTGGCATAGCTGCATAGCTCCCACAACTCCGCATGCTAAACACTTGCCCTAGACCAGCCCAATCAATCGTGGACCTTCGCCACAAAAAAGATGCAGAACACTAAAATCCTAAATCTTAAGACCTGAAGAACCAAAATGAACCGAAGAGTATAACTAAGCTTCATATCTCGGCCTCACCCTAGGGCGCGGGGTTTCTGAGGTTTGGATGTGTTGCAGTACCAGTATGCCTCCACTCGCTCCTTCTCTGCGGCTGCCACAGATGTGCACCAAGCCTCCTGAACAGCATGGCAAGCCGCGAGGCTCACGGGTCACATGCCCTAGACCAAGACGACAAGAGTGGTTGGCTCGACCCCTGCAAAAGGCACAAGTTCGGCTGAGGCCGAACAACTGGCTGCATTGGACTGATCGTACTTTCTTGCCCTTCACCACCGAATGCCGTGTTCATGCCACTGCTTACCGTCTGACATAATTACACAGACGGTGACAAGAAGCCGGATGCGGGGCATCGTACTGTGGCTTCGATGGACAAGCCTGGCACAACATGTGACATACACGGATACTACGGGTAGTAAGAAGTCTTAATAGTCTTATGGCCCGTCCGTCTACAATGTCCACTCCTGCCTGGGGGCCTAGGTTTCAAGACCAGCGCCTCTCGACCCCACGACCTGTTTTGCAGACGGTTGTGGACAGTGGCCGGCTCCTTCCAAGTGGTACCGCCACCACCTGAACTGCTTACGCTTTCGATTTTTCGGGGTCTGGAGCTGGGATTTAGGATGTCGGAGTTCAGGGTATAAGCATGATATTAAAAAGCCTCAAAAGTTCACTCTGTCTTGATTTTTCGTTTTGCCTGGCCCGTCCACGGCTCGTTTAGGGTGTCCTCAGTCTACCACTGGTAATATAGTCCTGGCTACTGCCGGCGCTGCCTGCCGGTGTGCACAGGCCCTCGAACAGAACAAGGATTGTGCAGGGGTCGACACGGGTTTGAAGTTTCTGGGTTTCAGGGTTCCGAGTTTGGGGTTTGGGGTCTAGGGCCTGAGGTCAGGATTCGCGAAGCTGCCTGACAAAGAATGGAACAAGCACCGGCTGCGGCCCTTCATCTGCTGCAGCAAGACGGGACATTACTAGAACACCCTGTCCCATTGAAAACCCTGGCTCTTCTAAATGTTAAACCCGAAACCTTCCCTAAACCCTAGATGCCGACAGACCTTTGCCTGGCTCCTCTCTTTCGGCAACCCTTTTAAACGCTATGGAAATACTCCAAGAAGCTTTTATCAAAGGTCATTTTCATTTCAAAATTAGCAATGCTTACGGCCTCGGGTCGTGAGCAGCGAAGGCAGCTGCTGCACGCCTTTGCCGACGTTGGACGGCCGACGGCTTGCTAGTAATACAGGTGTGCAACCGTCAGTATGCCTGCGTGCTCCTGCCTCATGCGACGCTCCATGTCTTCCGCGCCTGGTCCGTGTGCTGACTCCGTGTCTTCCTGTTGCTGCGGCTGCTCGTTCTTGTCTTCTGCCGGGAGTTCGCCTCAACTAACCGCTCCAATTTGCGTTTGCACTGCAACATGTCCTCACTTAGGCCACGGCCACTTGTCGTCGCAGCACGCACTTCTTCGGCATGTATGTCGATGTCGCCGTGCTCCTGCGCCACTTCCTGTAAGGGTGTTGGGGTTCGGAGGCGTGGATGTGCTGCGATACCACCAGTATGCCTCCACTCGCTCCTTCTCCGCAACCTCCTTCTCCGCAGCTGCCTCTGCAGCTCCGCGGTGCTCTGCCTGGCAACGTTGCACCGAGGAAGCTAAGCGCGCTGGGGTGCTGAGGTGTGGATGTGTTGGTTGGATGGTTGGATGGTTGGATGGTTGGATGGCTGGATGGTTGGATGGTTGGATGGTTGGATGGTTGGATGGTTGGATGGTTGGATGGTTGGATGGTTGGATGGTTGGATGGTTGGGTGGGTGCGGAAGACATGAAGCGTCGCATGCAGCAGGAGCACGTCGAGATGCCCCGGAAGAAGCCATACAGCAAGAGCGGCACGAGCATCAGAATGCAGACGTGCAAGCTGTACCATGTCTTTCGCCTTGTCACAGGCAAAGCACATCTTCCGGAACAAGAGCCGCAGGCACGGACGCACTGGAGACCATCCATCCATCCATCCATCCATCCATCCAGCCAGCCAGCCAGCCAGCCAGCCAGCCAGCCAGCCATCCACAAAGTTGTGGCGTCTCAGTTGGGGCACTTTCGAATTTATCCATAGAACAGGACTGTGCGGGATTGTATCAGTGCTAGCGAGTCAGACCTCTCCGTCTTCGCTCCTAGAGTTCACTCTTCAACTCCAACATGATCAACACAACAAGTCTGGACGGATCGCCCAGTCAGGCCCGCGAACACCGCGTGTTAATTCGGCTTGCGTACTTAGCCAAACTCGACAACTCTGTCGTGCGATACACGAGCACCGTCCTGGTTTGATATTGTTTAAGTGTTCGGTGGCACTCGCCGCGGTGCTTTGGGAAAGCAGAGCTGGGAAATCGAAAGGCAAACGTGGTCAAGGACTTTTTGCTCCATGGCACATGAAGACCAAGAAAAAACCAATGGCATGCTTCTCATATGCTCGCTAGTTTTCAACACATACTAGAACTACTACAGACACCTCTTTGGGGAGTCGGGTTTGGCTGGGTCAAAGGGAGCATGCGCTGCAAATATCCGTGCTGGTTCTTTCCTGATAGTTGGGGCGTGTGCGTCTGGGGAAAAAACTGCAGAAACAGACCACCACACTCATACTCATGGGAACAAAAAGGATACAAAAAGGTATGCGTGACAAAGCCCGGCTTGGTGACAGATGTTGACCCCAGCCTTTACCTTTTCCACAAGTTCACAAGCCGCTCTGCCCCCTGTCGAAACCATACAAATCATATGTTCATGCATGCATAGGGCATGGCACAACTCCAGATGGAGTATGGATTCCCTTGCAGAGTGCCTCTTACCAATGAGTGGGCACGGTGCTGCTTGCTGGGTCACTTGCAGCGGAAGAAAATTTCTATCAGCACCTGCGCTGCAACTGTTTCCGTGCTATTTCCTGCTATCACTCCTCTCCTCTTGTTAGGAAGGACTGCATATCTGATGCCATCCAGTGTGCTGAAAGTTGTCGCAGCATTTTCCAGACGCGGTGCTTTTTACACTAACACATACCCGCACTGACTTTAAGATTCGGCTTGGATGGGGCGTGTGTTTCCGGGGAGACACGGTAGAGACAGCTTACTACGCTAACGAGAACAGAACGATATGTGTGGGCATCGCGAAGTGCATGGCCAGCAGCAAAAAAAGCGCATAGTGACACTTGCTGACTCAGCTTTTGTGTTTTCGACAAGTCGCTCCACCGCCTGTGCCAACCACAACAACATGTCCATGCATCAACAGTGCATAGTGCAGTTCCGCAGTGGGCACGGACGCCTGCATCATCTGTGCCTAAATGCTTGCATACTGGGTCACCTGCAACAGACGAAAACTTGTGATTGCATTTGTGCCGCACAGGTTTCGACCGCTGTTTGTTCCTGCTACTGTTTCCCTCCACTGGTTTGGTTGACACGTCGGTCAATACCCGTTTCGTTCGTGCTGCTTACCTGTATCAGACTGCATTCCTGCTGTGCACCCACCGCTTGAGCCTTGGACGTTAAGTCATAACGGATACCGCCAAAACTAACACGGAAAGCCTGCCTGCTGTTCGCGTAGCAGCCATATGAGGTAGTCCACTTCCTGCGGAGTTGCTTTGATTGCCTGGCGGCAGCGGTACTTCAAAGCTGCAATGCTCATGCAAACACGCTAATCTGCGCGATCGCCCCAAAACCTTGCTGATTCAAGTTCATACTCGAGCTGCCACACATAAGAAAGGGGTGGAAAAGGCAATCACCTGGGATCCAACAAGCCGGCATGACAAACTGCCACAACTCAGCCGCACTCATGGCGGTGGCACTAAGCTCTTCTGCTGTGTCGAGACCTCCACGCTGCGTCTGATAAAGGTGCGGCCTCTCGCGAGCATACAAGCAGTTGCTCAAATCAGAAGATGTTGACCACAAAGCGGAGGGGTACCCATTTCTCCAATCTGCACCAGCCGCCTCTTTCACCCAGCTGTCTATCGCCGAACCTGAGCCTCTCCGCCGTCTCCAACTACTACGACTTCTCACACAGACGTGCATGGCAACTTCTAGACCGTACCGTTGCATCAGGCCCTAAACAAAAACCCATAAACTGCCCTAAAACCTTCAACCCGTGGTTGGAGTAATCGCGGGCGGCTGTGAGACGCGTCTCAGCTCATCACAACATGTAATTAAAACTCCTGCTGTAGGACGCATGGCCTGGAGTCGAGAGGTATATGCTGATTCTCGGGGGCTTCTGGTTGGTGATTAGGCTTCCCTACAAGACCCTCCAAGATTCGGGAAAGAAAGAGCTTGTGAAGGCCATGTCAACTACTCTAAAGGCTTGCCAGACATCCTGTACACAGGCTTATACAGACCCTATAAGCAAAGTGTTCTAAGCCTAACCCTACTGCCGTCATCGCCCGGCACCCGGAGTTTTGAGAAGTCTGCCACCCAGGTCAACATCGACATGGTGGCCAATCCCCAGGCTGACTGCATCAAAACGGTCAGCCATTGAATGGCAAACGAGCCTGCCATCCACGGACCATTAGCCGACGTAAGTCGTGGAGCTTAGGGCTTAGGGCGCTAATGGTTTGGGGCTTCGGAAGGCCCTCAACCCTTAACCTAGGTTTAGTAGATCTTAGAATGCGGGGAGGCCCACCACCAGTAGTGTGCAGCTTGGGGTCTGACATCGGGTTTTCAGAACATAGGTCAGGCGCGCATCCATGACAATGAACCCTGACCTCATACATAGATGTGGTTTCCGGCGATGCCTTTATTTGTTGCCACCCCCTTCTTCTTTGGGAGTTTACTGAGTTTGAGGTTTGAAGGTGCTGCCCTCATTTACGATACCGTAGGCCTCCAGAAGCTATACACTCAAGCACTAAACACTGAAGCTGGAACCTGTAAACCCCTGAAACGTATTCGGACTGGCTGCTACACCATACTTCAATACATAACATCATCTGCGGAGGTTGAAACGTCGGACATGGCCGGATGAAAACTTGAGTGCGGGCACACCCTGAGGCAGGGTACAGCTTGGGGGCATCCGTTGCACTAGGGCTCCTCTCATCATCAACACTTCCCTAATATAGCGTTTTTGTCGCAAAATTCACATGTACGTTCTCCCCGGCTCCTATTGTACTGAATCACAGTCCCTTCTAGAACACAATCAGCAACCGTAATGTATTTGCCCAACCGCCATGTACATGCAGGATATGTGCGTGTGTGTATGCATGTATGTATGTATGCATTTACCGATGTATCTCTGTACCAGTGCATCTAGGCACACTTGTTGCTTAAGTGGCCAAACCTGAAAGCCCTGGTTGGAGAGACGCCGCAGCTGCGAGACTCCATCTTCGAAGAGCTTGCCAAGACCCAGGGCACTTCAGAATACGAGGACTGGAAGGGCACCTGTAAGGACTATAATGGTTGCAAAAGGGCTGGTCTAAAGCTATGTGCCCAAACCCCCATCGTAGCACCCCGGCTGTGATTCTTGCATCGGAATCGGGGCCTCCGGCCGCCAAGATTCACGAAAGATGACGGCAACAGGGTTCCTGTGACTAGGCCCAGGCTTAGGGCGCTTAGCTGCTGGGGTCTGTAGAACCCTGTTTACAGGATTTCTAGCAACCCCTTGGTGAGCTTAATCCTGATAGTGCTGCGGCGCCCCTTCACAAGCTCTGTCGCCAAGGCACCCCGAGCTCACTTGAATTCATCTCTGACGCCTTCCAGAGCAAAGACAAAAGCTGTCATAATTGCCTTTTTCATAGTAGAACAAAAGAGCAAATAACCAGGCTGGTCATCATCGTTGTCAATGCCACTTCAAGAGTGTCATCTTCTTTGTGTCCATGGAATTGGGCATCACAAGGGCCTCTGCGAGTCATTCCATGAGGACCACCATGGCCAACCATCATGTCACCATGCTCATCACCGTCACCGTCACCATCGCCGCCACGGCCATGCAATAGTGCCAAGCAGCAGCCAGGCGGCAGACGAACCAGCAGCAACATGCTCAACATAGTGAAACTCCCGTCCCGTCTCATAGCAGTAACACAACAGACACCACAAACACCACCATAATCACCACGACAACTACCACCATAAACACCAAATGCGCTGGGAACGACGAAGACGGCAGCTACCACCTCAAGCGCAATCACCACAAGTAGAACATCTAGGAGAGGGACAGAGGCAGGAGCCTTTATTGCATGTGACCGTGCCCATGTATACAAGCTGTTCAGTGGTACCAATCATCCCAACCCATGCCAACTTCGACTTCACTTGCCAAGTCAAAGGGCCGTCTCGTCCAAAGCGTGTTCAGCACGGCTGAAGGTTTAGGATGCACAAGGGTGTGTGGGTCGCATTTGGGGCGTCGGGGGTTGTGGAGACTCTGGATCAAAACTTTGCGGGTGGTGCAAAGAGTTGGGTTTCGAGGTGGGCATAAGCCCGGGAATGCCGTTAACTTTAAATCCCACGCCCGACTTCCCTTCAGACATTGCTGCGCATCCTTGCTACGAAGGCCCAAAACCTTCTAAGCCTTCACCAAGCCTGAAGCCCCATAAAACACCCCAATACAACCCAACTCTAAAATCCTGAAATGATAAACAACTACGTTCCCTGGATCTTCCAAACTAGTTTCCGAATGTTCGCTGCCAGAGCCCGTACTTACTGAATGCCCCTAAACTCTGACTTTCGAGCCCCGGTCTTCTCAGGCTGTGGCGGTTTTTCGCTCCGAGCAAAACCGCCTCAACGTCAACTACACACTGGAGCAGATTCAAAACTCTAAACGGAGATGTCGATTGGCACTCTCACCAAATCTTCCTCCACTAGTACTCCGATTCCGTTCAAAACTCCCTGACCAGTAAGCCTCCCATGTACGGGCTGAGCACTTTGCGCACGAAACGTGACGATGCCAGGTCCCCAATTTAGAGAACCTCCTCCATACTACGCTCTGGTAATCAAAATAGGGCTTTGTGGTAATTGTAGTATATACTATACTTGCAAAAGGAAATCCCAGCATAATATTGGTGCATAGGATTTTGGCCACGCACGTGCGCTGCGTACACTGCAATTTGG